ATTGCAGCCATTTGCTAAAATCATTTAAGTTAATTGTTTTCTCATTAATGTACACACAGCACCCCATATTGACAGAAAAACACAGCATTGTTGACATTTTTGCAGATTTATTCAAAAAGAAAAACTGAAATATCACATGGTCTTAATTATTCAGACCCTTTGCTCAGTATTTAGTAGAAGCACCCTTTTGATCTAATACAGCCATGGGTCTTTTTGGGAAAGATGCAACAAGTTTTTCACACCTGGATTTGGGGATCCTCTGCCATTCCTCCTTGCAGATCCTCTCCAGTTCTGTCAGGTTGGATGGTAAACGTTGGTGGACAGCCATTTTTAGGTCTCTCCAGAGATGCTCAATTGGGTTTAAGTCAGGGCTCTGGCTGGGCCATTCAAGAACAGTCACAGAGTTGTTGTGAAGCCACTCCTTCGTTATTTTAGCTGTGTGCTTAGGGTCATTGTCTTGTTGGTATAACAAACTTTTGCTACAAGTTTGATTGCATCATATAATAATTGCTGTTAATATTATTCATCGTCTGTTTTATTACGTCTTATATTGATTTTTCCGTTCTGCTGGTTCGTCTGGTCAGAGGAGAACTGGCCCCCGAACTGAGCCTGGTTTCTCCCAAGGTTTTTTCTCCATTCTGTCACTGATGGAGTTTTGGTTCCTTGCCGCTGTCGCCTCTGGCTTGCTTAGTTGGGGACACTTCATTTCCAGCGTTATCGTTGACATAATTGCAAAGATATTATTTAAACTGAACTGAGCTGGATGTTGACATCACTGAATTCAATGATGAACTGTCTTTAACTGAAAAATGAGTGTTTACTATTGTCATTTTGCATTATTGACACTATTTTCCTATTTAATGCTGTTCAGTTGCTTTGTCACAATCTGTATTGTTAAAAGCGCTATATAAATAAAGGTGACTTGACTGGACTAGTGCATAAAAACATACAATTAGCATTCAAGTTTCAGAAAAAAAATGATGCAATAGCCTTTTTATCTCCCTATACTGCATTGAATATTGATGTTCATGTTGAATTTAAGTGCGAATTTCTAATGGCGCTGCATGAACCTGACACTTCCGAACTAAAGAGAAGGACGTGGAAGTGCTATTCGCAGCAGCAATCCTAACGGTTAAACACGTTTTACTGAACTGAATTTTATTGTTACACTGGAAAATGCGGAGGTAGAACATAATAGCAAGCTATTGCAAATAATGTCTGAATTGCAAGTATTGAATGTGACAGAAAACCCAAGAAAATCTTGGAGGAACTGACAGGATTCAGGTGCGCTGATATAGGGGGAGCGCAGGGCACAAAGTAACGCGGGGTTAGTTGTAACGCACACGGTTGTAATATTTCCACACATGCTAGCATAACCAAATTTACAGTATTTATTAGTTACCATATCAACATTATATAGGAAAAAATCTTGAAGATGTCAATGAACATTTATTTTACCATAGTAAAATAAAAATTCTGGCTTAAGTACATTTTTCATCTCTGTTTATATTAATAATTTAAAATTAGACATTATTATTTTTAAAAATGCTATTATTTTAGTCTCCAATCTGTTATTTATCAGTTTAGATAGTTTTTGTTTAATGCTTCGCTAACTAGCAGAAAGACGGCAACTGGTTTTAAACTCCAGTTGTGCAGATGGGGCACGCTGTAACACTGCGTTACAGTGTGCTGTTCTATGACATTACACTATTTACTTTAATGCATTTTAATGAGAAACAACAAGAAACAGGTGAATAAAGACTGACAGTCAATGTTTAATGTTTAGACATTATTATTTCAAGACATGTAAAGCATTTTTTGCTCGTTTATGTGGGCCGTCCCAAGCATGGTTGCAATGTGTTCATTGTCAAACTCCAAAATCAGATTATTTTTAATTCTTTAATTCTTATTTTATTTTATTAACAAAATATTTGAGCTTGTCTTGTATATTTTTTTCATTCGATCAGATAACATTTTAAGCTGTCATAGGTCATGTTACAACGCACCCCTCAGACGTTACAATGTACCCCACACCTATGGGGCATGTTGTCACATTTCACTCCCATTTTTTGAGGGTAAATAACGTAAAACGTATACACTGTAATCATGAAACAAAGCGACATATTTGTACTAGACAAGTGTAAAATTACTGTGGATAAAAAATATATATTCTGAACCCCATGTGGATTTACACAAACTGAGAAAGTCAAAAAGTGTTACTTTGTGCCCCGCTCTCCCCCTACAGTAGCAGAAAGTCTCTTGTACAGCATGGCATGAAGGTGGTCGGCTGTGCCAGAAATGTGGAGCAAATAGAGGTAATTATACAGTTATGAGGAAAATTCGCATATGATGCTTCAGGAAAAAAAACAACGAAATGCTGTGAGGACATCGCAGGTAATTTATGTAGCACCTGGATCATAGATCATTATGGACCACCTTAGATCATTTTAAATATAACTGATAGCCTATCTTAATTTATTTTCTATCTGCTTCTTTTACTCACCCTTGTGTTATATGATATCTGTATGATTTCTTGGAAAACAAAAGGGCACATTCAATGAAGTAACTGAAGCCAATGGAAACGTTTTTGAGATACTAGTATAAAACTTAGTAATTAGGCCATCTCAGATTTACTTAATTTGCAAGTGTTTTGACTGAAAACGTTTGTTAAAATAAATGTAAATTATGTATATCTTGAAGCTGTGAACAAAGTGTCTATGGCTCTAGCAAAAATGTCCAAGGTTATTAAAGGGATAGTTCACCCAAAAATGAAAATTATGTCAACATTTACTAACTCTTAAGTTGTTCCTAACCTTCTCCTGTTGAACAGAAAAGAAGATATTTTGAAGAATATGGGTTAAAAACTGTTTGATGAACCCCACTGAAAAAAAAATACTTTGGAAGTCAATGGGGACCATCAACATTTTTCAAAACATGTTCAACAGAAGAAAGAAACTTATTTATGTATTGAGTAAATGATGACCGAATTTTTATTTCGGGGTGAACTATCCCTGAAAACAGTGTACATTGCATTGCATTCTGACAAATTATTATGATACTAGAGCAGCAATAATACAAAGTTATAAACCTCTGACATTGGTTTTTGAGCTTTGTAACCTTCATGAAATTTCTTCCCTTTCACAGAAACTGGCTGCGGAATGTGTCAGTAGTGGATTCAGCGGCACTCTGATACCATATAAATGTGATCTGTCTGTAGAGGACGACATGTTATCCATGTTCTCCTGGATCAAAGTTCAACATCATGGAGTTGACGTGTGCATTAATAATGCTGGTTTGGCTCTCCCAGAGCCACTGTTGAGTGGCAAAACCAGTGGCTGGAAAACTATAATGGATGTATGTAAATCAAATAAGCAGTTATTCCTTATCTGAACTGCAGAATGTGTCATGTTAGTCACGGCCAAAACTTTTGCAGGTGAATGTCATTGCCCTGTCAGTGTGCGCCCGTGAAGCATACCAGTCCATGAAAGAAAGAAAAGTTGATGATGGTCATATCATTAATATTAACAAGTACAGGTTGCACCTTTGTTCTATGTACTCATTTTCTTGTCTATGTGCAGACACAAAAGCATTCAATGTCTTAAAATACATATTTTAGTATTTGTGGACACCGGGTCGTCAACAACGCTGATGCACACTTCTACACCGCCAGCAAATATGCAGTGACGGCTCTCACAGATGGTTTGAGGCAAGAGTTACGAGAGGCCAAAACCCACATACATGCCACAGTAAGCGCAGGAGGATCAGGATTTGCTTCTGCTGAACACTTTATTTATGTAATATGATTACTGCATGTACAAAGACTTGTTGGCACTAAGTGTTCTCTCTCTTTAACAGTGTATTTCTCCTGGTTTAGTGGAGACAGAATTTGCCTCCCGACGTTTTAGTGAAAACCCAGAAATAGCTGTTGCTACCTACAAAAGTGTAAAGGTATAGACCAGGGCTGTCCAAACTCGGTCCTGGAGGGCCGGTGTCCTGCAGAGTTTAGCTCCAACTTGCCTCAACACACCTGACTGGAAGTTTCTATGCCTAGTAAGAGCTTGATTAGCTGGTTCAGGTGTGTTTAATTAGGGTTGGAGCTAAACTCTGCGGGACACCGGCCCTCCAGGACCGAGTTTGGACAGTCCTGGTATAGACATTGTGATTCCTTTCTATACAACATGTTGAAGGTCATCATTTACATGTTTAAATATTACAGTGCCTACAAGTAGCTGACATTGCAAACGCAGTGGTGTATGTCCTGAGTGCTCCTCCTCATGTTCAAGTACGCAACGTGCATCACTGGAGAAACTATTGTGCGATTAATGTTTGCTGTCACTTCATCAATGTTCTGAATATGAGATGAATGGGATATTTTGGTGATAAGAATTTGTCAAAAATTAGAATAATCACTGTTCTTTGTTGGTTTCTACTGATATAGAGTCAATTTGAGCAGCAGTGGAAAATTTCGGCATTGTATTTTCTAGGTAGAATCTTGATTTAATGGCTGAATTGTTTAATATAATAGTTTTTTCCTTCCTCTTGTGTACGTAGATTGGTGACATTGAGATCACGCCAGTGGAGCAGTCGATGTAACCTGAGCAAATAAACGGGATCAAGCATCTCTGACACAATGTGACAGTGATGAAGGACAGAACTTGAAGTAAAAAAAAAGACTGTTCAATTTACTATATTGCTAATATATGTAGTATACTAGTATAGCATATTTACTACTAATAATAGTACATCTATTATTGTAAATGTTACTAGACAGACAAAAATATGATTTTTAGAAAAAGTTCTAAACACTCTTGGTGCTGTTTTAAATATTTTTAAAAAATCAGTTGTGCAAAATGCAGAATCACTGTCATTTATTTTGCTCGACATCATATTGATGAACATTTGTGGACAAAAAAATCAGTGCTGATGAAATGGGATACTTCTGTACAAACTTTAGCTCTGAATTTGCATCTCAGCATTGCAGGGTTACATTGCATCAATGGTTCTAACTTCACGATTAAGTTATTGACTTCGGTAACAAAAAAGTATAAACCCTGGTAACCCTTTTTATGTACTTCTGAAGATTTGGACTATAGTGCCGTGTTTTATGATCTACATTTATGGTGCTTTTTTGCTATTCTGGAGCTTTGGTAGAAACTACCAAATAGCTCTTTACTCTTTCTGTTTTATTTTTGAGAAATCAAGGGTGACACCTATTGAATATTGAGAAGTAGAGAAACTACTTCCAGTGCTTATTATGCCAAGAGCGTAAAACAATATTAGTGAAAGAGTCTGTCGCCTTGTTTTCCTCTAAAAACAGTATAGTAAAGAAAGGGATTAAAAAGCAACTGTTACTTTCCAATGTATTTATAGTATAAATGACAATCATAAAACTGATTTTTGCTTGCATTTGCTTTTATTTTAAGACTGTAGCTGCCCAATGTTTCGTCCTCATGCATGATTGGCATCTCAAGGAAAATTGCCTAGCAACCAGCCCTGAGTATAAGATGTGTGTTAAGGCTGTGAGGGAAGCATTAAGTGCTTGTTGTTTTGCCATTGAAGATTCTGCTTAAAAATGTAAAGTTCATTAAAATCATTTTGCTTTAAGCCAAATAGCCAGATTAGTTATATCTAGCCACTTTTTGTACTTTTTACCCGCTTTACATTCCTTCGCGTTCCTCTGCGGTCTTTAGATGGTCTGTCTCAGCATGTGGACAGAGCACGCAGTTACTCAGCAAAAGCCTCTTGTTCGTATGGGAACACAGTCCCGCCCTCTTAACCCCATTTCCATGACCGCAACAGCACGAAACACTGTGGAATCAATCATGAATTGTCTTTTATGCTCTGTAAGTGATACTATTGTACTGTTTTTGGAATGTATATTATTTCATAATGTCGACACCCTCTGAATGCTCTGAATTATTCCGTGTCTGGGAACCAGGAAGCTGGTATGAGACTCCACATTGTTTTCACACACTCGTTCTGAAACTGCTGAGTACAGCGGAGTTGCGGAGGAGGAAGCTGGTGTGATGCAAAATGGTGTGATGTTCTGTCCAGGCCATAATATTGGAAATGGATAATGGAAATCACACAGTGGTCTCCCTTGAGTAGTATGTTTTCATGAGAACGTGTTAATGAAACATCTGAAAACCCTGTTGAAACATACAGTATGTACTTTCAATGGCCCCAACTTTAATCGTTCAAGACCTAACTAGGAAGTCAGATCCCCCAAACCCCATAATTCACACCTTCACGTCCAGACTTCTACATGAATTAAATTTGAATATTTAAAAGCAGCTACTTCATATGCATTGTAACACTGTGATTTAAATCACATCTTCCATTGCATATTTCAGACTGCGATTCTGCAAAGGCCTTGCTTTCTAACAAGAACATGTGAGGATCAGCTGATGGGAGATTTGAGTTCAGTGTTACAATACATTTAATGTCGGACAGTGGGTGAGGTACCTAAAGCAGATTATCCTTTGAGAAGAATGTGACCCTTAAGTCCACTGGCAAAAGCTTTGTAAGGCCAAAGTCTGTGCTAGAACAATGACCATCATAAATGGACTCAGTGCACTCGCTTCTTTTTTGTTTTTTAACAGGAGAGCAAATGCTGTAAATAATCAGGTTACCTGGAGGAACACTTAACACTTCATTTATTAAAAACAAAACCCATACTGTGAAGCAGAGGAATGTTTTCTCAAAACACGCTATATTCCACCAGTGCTCTTATTTACTTTATTCAGCAATCATGTCGAGAAACACATGCTTCATAAAAATGATCTGATCTGTCAGTCTACCATCAAGGGAGCTATAAAAACAGAGTAGGTAAAAACACGCTGCTTATTAAAACAATGTTGCTGCATATCGTATGGCAGCCTAGAAGATAACCAACCGTTTGGTCGCACCATGTGGAGCTTGTTGAATTTCACTCTCTCTTAATTTTTCCACGCTTTTCTCGGTTTCCTCGCTCCTTGCTTCTCTTCATTTTCGTGTTCCTAGGTCTGCGGGTTGCCTTGGACGGAGTGTTAGTGTGTAGAAGAGGAAACATTGGTGCCGTGTTTATCTCTGGACCCTTCAACTGAAACTCAGTGTCCTTTTCGATCAGAGTCGGGAGGGGTGTTGTGTCTGTAACGTCCGGCAAAACTGCTTCATAGCAGATTTTGATTACACGCCTTCCTTTGTTCCTTCTACCATTGGTGTCCTTCAAACTTTCTGTTGGGTTTTCAAGTCGGTCCAATCCCAGTCGCTCTAGTACATCTGTTGGCCCGACTGTTGCAGAACCTGTGAACAATAGTGGATCCTGAGAGCTGATAACACGAGGAGGTCCTTCTGTAGAAGAAGCAATGATTTTCCTCATTCTCTTTCTTCCTTCTCTCTGCCTCGAACTTGGCATTTTGGTTCTAACAATGGGTGTTTTTTGTGTAGTAGTGAACACATGTCCCTTTTCATCCATGTAATGTGTAATCTGCGTCACTTCGTTTCTTACAGCATCAACTGGACTCTCGGTTGTTGATGTTGCGAGGCTGACACCTTTAGATGGACTAGTCGAGAGAGTTTCTTCCTTGAAATAAAGTTGGGTGGCTTCTGTGGAAGGGTTGTTTTTTCTTTGCTTTTTCTTTCCGGCTCTTTGCCTCAGCTTAGCTCTGATCTTATAGCGGACAATGTGAGATGCAGGTGAGGAGGAGACGAACTCTGTGTCGTTTGTTTGGTTGTGCTCTAGAATCTCTGGTTCTTTACCTGTCTTTATTGAGGTTGTAATGGTAGCAACATCCTGATTATCATTCACTGTCCTCTGAGGATCATCTCTCATCATCTTATTAGAATTTCCTACAGAGTCTAGCTCACTGTTCATGAAATTATTTTCTTTTATGCTAAACCGATTCATCTTCGCTGCTTCCTCCACAAAGTTGTTCTTACCCATGACCTCCTCTGTTTGACCGGTTGACGGCGCACCGGCCGTTCCTTCGTCGACCTTTAACACGGCATCAAGTTTTTTATTCTTCTTCCTGCCTTTACCCCTTCCTCTTTTCTTCTTGTTCTCTTTTTTCTTCTTGCTGGAATTTTTCTTCCTCTTCTTCTCTGACGTCTGAGTTTCTCCTTTACCTGTGTCTGCGGATGAGCTTTGAGAGGTGGAGACTGTGGCGAGCACTTTGATTAAATCCTCTGCAGCCGTCACCACATTTGTGAGCGAGGGTTCTTCAGGGGCGGTGGTCTTTGATTCAGAGAATGACGACTGTGTTGTGCTTTCAGCGTTCTGAGTCTTGTTCTGCTTTTCTTCGTCTGACTCTTTCTTAGGAGGAGCGATAGTCAATACATCAATGACATCAATGCCTCCAAAGTCATAAGCGTTTGATTCTTTAATCACTGCTACGGGAACTCTGTCATACTTTTTACACCTTTATGATGGAGAGAAGAGTTAAAAATTGCATTTTTTGGCAACTGTAGACTGTACACTAGACTAGAGTATATGGAAGGATTTAGAACTTCACAGAATTTGATACTTACACCCCATACCAGTGACGCTCAACACACTGCTCTTCAAATGAAAACTCAAAGCAAGGCACTTCGATCACATTAAAGAAAGCTTGTCCGACTACTCGGGATGAAGTGTCATTGACACATCTCAGGCATTCCTTTAAGCTGTAAGATGCAGATATAAGTGGTCATTAGCATAAATAAATATGGAGATGATTTCAAAATGTCTATTTTTTCAGCATTTTTACATAAAGATAATGATTTCGATTTGATTGCAGCTTTGACATCAGTTAAAAAAAATAACTTTCATTTGAAATCATACACAGCAAAAATTGGTAACCTGTTGCAATCGTTAACTTGATTTTTTTTTCCTACCTGATCTAATTCTTAAATGTAGGGTTGTTTGTACACCCTTAATTATAATATGATGGTTCTGTGAAAAATAGTTGTCAGTAAAAATTAGGCTAATTTATGTTGATTGTTGTAACATCCCAGAAGCACATTTTAACATTTTGTAGGTAACTGACAAATATCAACAAGATTTGTAGGTTATATGTTTTTGCATAAAACATAATTAAATCACAGTTTAGTCCTTCAATTAAATAGAATTGAAAAGAAACAATACTTAAATTCTCATAATAAAAGTGTCTCAATTAATATAACGTCATAAAAACGGCTTATCTACAATTTTTTTGTTTTTAAAGTAGTTTTAAATGAAGTAGACCTATAGCTTGTCATGCTGCTGGAGGCTGCTGTCATCTATCAAACTTACACATTCTGGACCACATCAAACTTACGCATTGTCGCAGTCGCAGTGGCTCAGGGGGTGCCATTTAAAGTTGGTGTATCCATAGTTGGAGGAAAACGCATGGATGACGTATGGGCAGTGATCGTGAACGCGACAACATTTGTCGGTCTCTTCGAATTCGCCTAGGGTGGAAAAATCACATGCACAAAATGCCTAAACACTTGCTACAGTACGAAAATGAAACATAATACTCAAGTCAGTGAATTAAAGTCAACTCACCTAACTGATCATAATGATCTGCGATGTTCCCTGCACCACACCAAAGTGTCCCGGGATAAGTGAAGCCTCGCTTGGTTCGCGTCTTTTTATTGTTCGCCGCATCAGAGTTCGGCTCTTTTGCTGGTTGTGTCGTCGCGATGAAGTTTCTGTCGCCTTTTGATTTCAACTTGTTACAATTCGCCTTCGCTTCGGACACCCCTGTCAAACTCATCTTCAAATCAGAGCTCATTTGGTTTCTTAGCCCAAGCCTGCAAACATGCATGAAGGATTTGACTTGCATTTCGTTTTGGATCACAGAGCAGTCCACCAGGCGGCCCTCAGAGTCATGCACAGAGCGAACCTCTTGAGCGCCATCGGTAACCTGATGGAGGTGATACTCTCCTACAACTGAACTTTTGGCGCAAAGAGTGTTGTTGAGCATGTAAAAGAGCTCTTTGCTCTCTTTTTCTGCATCTAAAGCTTGGCTTAAGAATTCGCCTTTAACAAAATTCCTGTCTAGATAAGACAGAAACACGAAAAACACGGACCACATCGCGGCGGGCGGCACTTTCAGCACCACGGAGTCTCAGACAGCACCGCAGCCTCTCCTGTCCTACGAGAACCGGCTTCTTTCACCGGCTGCCGTGGGTATTAATATATTGCTGGTCAATGATGGGAGGAGTCTGGCATTTAATTAACCCTTTCCTCCTCCAATGAACTTGAAAACCCTAATATGCATCTGTTTCCTCCCCCTGTCGTCCGTGTGGCAAGTGTACAGTGTGCAATGATTTCCGATGGATTCTCATTTCCAATGGATAGAGCCTATTTGCAAAAAGCAAATTCGTATTTATCTTATTTGCGAGAGGGAAAGGTTGCAATGCAAAAGCTAACAAACAAAAGGGTATTCTTGTTTTGTTTCTTTTTTAAAGTAAATCAATGCTTTGTTGAAACCACATTTTGTATTATTGTTATTACATTTTAGGACAATAGAAAGCATGGCATTACAGTTAAAAGTAGGCTATAAGACATGAGATTTACAAGTATTTAAGGCAAATTTAACCTAGGTATTGTACAAAGACATTCCAAACAAAAGGAAAAGAGGGGGGAAAAATAGGCCTATATATACATACATAAGTTATATAGCTATATATAGGTTATATATATTAGATAAGTAAAATACTTTGTTTTCAACCGTTTCATTAATCACAAAAGTCAGATTAAGTAATTCCTAAATAAGAGGTAACGATCGCAACAGTTCGCTGCTTGAGAGCTTGGCGTTAGAATCAGTATTTATCATTTTGTTATATATTTACATCACAAATATCACGAATGGTGATATTGTAAAACTCTTTGAGTTGGTTTAACATTAGAATACACTGACAGAATAAATGACTTCCGACCTCCTGAAAGTCATTGAATACCAGCACACAGAGTAAAAACAATACAAACTTTACATCACATCTACAAATACAATAGGACTATAGCATATTTTTCTAGATAAAATGCAAACACAATTTCAATGTAGGCTCTTTTTAATCAAGCCGTGTTTGTTGTGTGCAGGCGCACCGGAATATGTAATCCCACATAATGAATGTAGGGTGTAATGGATATGTGTGTTTTGACCGCAAGTAACCCCATCGCTCCCCACACCTCGAGATTTACTTTGGTGACGCAGCAAGGAGGAGGTTCCTTTGGCGCTTTCCATAGTAACAAGAGATGGGGTGATCCTTCCGACCCAGCGAGATTGGGCATTCTAATTTCACAAAAGGAATGGGTAGTGACCTAATTTGGAACAGTGGGCTTTTTCAGTTCAGACCAATGAAGATCTCCATGCAGTTATTGAACATCAGTCAGTGTCTTTTCCTATGGTTACATGGATCTTAACTTTGGGACTTTAACAGAAGCAGGCGCCAGCAAAGTGAAAAAGAGTAATTTGAGAAGAGAACGCACGTTTGTCCATATGTAAATATATTTGCAATTGTATATGGCTGTTGCGTTCAAACAATGAAATATGTAGCTTTCCATTGCTGTATTTCTTAGAAAAAGATCATATGATTAAAATGGTCCATTCCAGATGAGATTAACTCATCTTTATTTATTAAGTTAGCCTATAACTATTGGTGCAACATTGTTGAAAAGGGTACAAACGACGAACTAATACAATAACCAAATAAATCAGGATTTATGCAAGTGCAAGTCCAAAAGCAAAATATTTATGGTCGGCTTTTAAAGAGCCCCCATTGAGTCTAACAGTGGGCTTTGGCAAATCGGATTGGTGGGGGAAGAAACAAATGATGTAAAATCACCAGAGGCAACATGCGACATTGTAACATTGGACATTGGAAAATCGGCCCGATGTAGTATTAATTTAATGCTCATTAAAAAGTTTTGCCCGGATATTAATCAGCGCGTGTTCCGCATACCTGACGAACTGTTACTTCATTCCAACACACTGTGTAATTTCGAAATACCGCATTTTCTTTCAAACGTTTATGATCTACAATAGCACAAGTTCTTGGAGCACAAATCTGAAATACTGGAATATTTTTAAAACGATGGCATGACAGCGCAAAACTGTGCTCAAGATTTCTGATGTACAGAGGAGTTCATTATCTTAAATTGCACATGATTTTCAGATAGGTTAAAAAGGAACCCTATTTTCCTATATTAAACAATTAAATAAAATAGTCAGCTGCTCAATCAAGAGGTCACTATGAGAAATCTCTGCAGAAAATAAAATGTAAAAGACCAAAAGATTCAATAATAAAATTGTCCATAGCATCATAATTTCGATCTTTAGTGGATCGTATGGATGTACTGTAGGGTATAGGCGAGTCCTGCATAATGAGGTGGAAATTAATTGGAAAGGTGGCTCCTGGCACCTTGCACTTAAAAGGGTCATATGATGTTGCTATAAAGAACATTATTTTGTGTATTTGGTGTAATAAAATGAGTTTATGCGGTTTAAGGTAAAAAAAAAAACATTATTTTCCACATACTGTACATTATTGTTTCTCCTCTAAGCCCCGCCCTTCTGAAACCCGTCCAGCTCATTGGTCTGAAAAGCGAGGTGTGCTCTGATTGGCCAGCTATCCAGTGCGTTGTGATTGGCCGAATACCTCAAGCGTGTGACGGAAATGTTATGTCCCTTACCATACTGTGATGCCCTGTCCGGCCGGAGCGACGAGACAAAAACATTAAAACCCATTATAAACGAGGCATTTGTCTTTTTACGTGTTGCGTTGCATCGCACCGTGTAAACATAAAACCATGTCTGCATTTGTGATCGGAGAAATGACAAATAAGCGCTTCTCTACACTGCCCAAAACTCACGTTTGAATCGTCAGTGGCAAATTCTTTAAATATAAAAAACGTACTTACTCTGTGAGTCAGAACAGCCAGCATTGTAGTCTACTCTACCAGGATCAGGAAACAGTCCTCCATAAAATGCACTGGACACATCTGAATATTTGGGTTGAACTGTTCTGGAACAGTGTTGTAAATACAACATAACCACTGATTTCTAATCGTGTTCTCTTTTGGAAGACCAAACAAAGTTGTTTCGCTTTCACAACGAAACACATGGCGGGCTAGAGTGAGCGGAGGCCGGCCTGAGTGAGCAGCGGCCGGCAGATTCGACAAAGGAGCGTCCAGGGGGCTTGCGGCAACCACATGTGACGACCCCGGGCTGGACTCCGCTTCGTCCGGCGATCCACAGCGAGAAGTTGATGTATTTCCTCAGCGACCAGCACGGATCAGCTCCAGGCATGACGAAGCGGATATCGTCCTCTTTTGGAAGGCCAAACAAAGTAGTTTCGCTTTCACAACGAAACACAGTGCCTTCACGACATGGTAGCGGCGGCAACAACAATACTACAGCGAAAATAAAAGTTACGCCTTTTTTCTTTGCCTGAACATTTGGGTGGTGTTATGCAAATCTTCCCACATCGTGGCATAGACATGTGGGGGCGTGTTAGAACGATCCGTTTTAGGTAGGTGTGGTGGGGGATTTCTCTCTGGATTCACAGCCGACACCCAATCATGAATACATTTTTTATTTATTAAGGATGACGACGACAATCAAAGGCACAGAACATGCCTAAACAGCACACGTGCGAGAGAGAGAGACTGACTGAATGACTGAGCGTGTCCTCCATCAGGTTAAGTCATATTCATGAAAAAAATTTGTTTGTGATGTCCTAAGAGTAATGTTGTCTTTTCAGTGTTTATGGGTAACGTACTCCCTCATGACAGGTGTCAGTGCATCAGCTTCAGCTTTTCCCCCTGTCGTTTAACCCAGCGTTTACCCCTCACGTCACTAGCTCCGCCCTTGCGCCATAGCTCGTGACTGGAAGAGAAGATGAGTCGTTTTGAAGGGGAGGGGAGGTTAACGTTTTTTTTGATTAAAGATTACGAGGGCACATGAATTAAAAAAAAATAATGAAGTGCACGGATAAATTATTTATAATAAACACTACAGTATTCCATTAAAAAATAAGAATTTTTTTCAATCAGTGCAAAGAAATGCAAGTACTGGCAGTGCATCAGATGGAGAGATTGAAAAGTTAATCAAAGATGGCTGCTGCTCACTTTGGACAGAGATGGGGGAAGAAAAGAGTGGGCCCGAATGCAAACAAATTCTTCCAAAGGTATGTTCCAAATGTTAACATTTTCCAGAGTTACCATTCATGTTATCAGTCTGAGATTGTCTAAATAATCATACGTGTCATTGTCTGTTCTCCTTTTTGTCTCTCTTTCTGTCAATCTGTCCCTCTTTTAGGGTACACTTACTTGAGGAAGCTCCTGGAGTTTTTTTTTTCTTTTTTTCAAATAAATTCTAATATCACTCATATTTTCGTTGTCATTTTTATACTGGGGGGAAAAGGAGCACATATGGATGTTATGGGGTAGTAGGTGGGGATGCCATGAAAAGAAATGGTGTAAGGGCGAAACCCTTCATCTTTTTAAAGGTGACATGTTTAGTTGACATGCAAAAGTACATGTAGACTTAACAAGGACACTGTAAAATATGTATTTTATTTTAGTTGGAAGTAGATGCCATCTTAAGGATTTTAAGGTAACAATGTAATTTTGTGGAAAAACTAATTATTCAAAGCTCTGGTTCTATATCAAAACTGGAAGGAGTCTTTAATACACATATTTTAGAAGTTGTAATTCTGTATGAGTAAGTGTAAGTATATATATGTCAGGGTCTTGGGTAGGCATTGTAGTCTACTCTACCAGGATCAGGAAACAGTCCTCCATAAAATGCACTGGACACATCTGAATATTTGGGTTGAACTGTTCTGGAACAGTGTTGTAAATACAACTTAACCACTGATTTCTAATCGTGTTCTCTTTTGGAAGACCAAACAAAGTTGTTTCGCTTTCACAACGAAACACATGGCGGGCTAGAGTGAGCGGAGGCCGGCCTGAGTGAGCAGCGGCCGGCAGATTCGACAAAGGAGCGTCCAGGGGGCTTGCGGCAACCACATGTGACGACCCCGGGCTGGACTCCGCTTCGTCCGGCGATCCACAGCGAGAAGTTGATGTATTTCCTCAGCGACCAGCACGGATCAGCTCCAGGCATGACGAAGCGGATATCGTCCTCTTTTGGAAGGCCAAACAAAGTAGTTTCGCTTTCACAACGAAACACAGTGCCTTCACGACATGGTAGCGGCGGCAACAACAATACTACAGCGAAAATAAAAGTTACGCCTTTTTTCTTTGCCTGAACATTTGGGTGGTGTTATGCAAATCTTCCCACATCGTGGCATAGACATGTGGGGGCGTGTTAGAACGATCCGTTTTAGGTAGGTGTGGTGGGGGATTTCTCTCTGGATTCACAGCCGACACCCAATCATGAATACATTTTTTATTTATTAAGGATGACGACGACAATCAAAGGCACAGAACATGCCTAAACAGCACACGTGCGAGAGAGAGAGACTGACTGAATGACTGAGCGTGTCCTCCATCAGGTTAAGTCATATTCATGAAAAAAATTTGTTTGTGATGTTAATGTTGTCATGTTGTCTTTTCAGTGTTTATGGGTAACGTACTCCCTCATGACAGGTGTCAGTGCATCAGCTTCAGCTTGTCGTTTAACTGGCCATGCCAACCTGTGTCAGAACCAGACCTGGCTGACCCACAATCTGGCAGGTTTTTTTTGATTAAAGATTACGAGGGCACATGAATTAAAAAAAAATAATGAAGTGCACGGATAAATTATTTATAATAAACACTACAGTATTCCATTAAAAAATAAGAATTTTTTTCAATCAGTGCAAAGAAATGCAAGTACTGGCAGTGCATCAGATGGAGAGATTGAAAAGTTAATCAAAGATGGCTGCTGCTCACTTTGGACAGAGATGGGGGAAGAAAAGAGTGGGCCCGAATGCAAACAAATTCTTCCAAAGGTATGTTCCAAATGTTAACATTTTCCAGAGTTACCATTCATGTTATCAGTCTGAGATTGTCTAAATAATCATACGTGTCATTGTCTGTTCTCCTTTTTGTCTCTCTTTCTGTCAATCTGTCCCTCTTTTAGGGTACACTTACTTGAGGAAGCTCCTGGAGTTTTTTTTTCTTTTTTTCAAATAAATTCTAATATCACTCATATTTTCGTTGTCATTTTTATACTGGGGGGAAAAGGAGCACATATGGATGTTATGGGGTAGTAGGTGGGGATGCCATGAAAAGAAATGGTGTAAGGGCGAAACCCTTCATCTTTTTAAAGGTGACATGTTTAGTTGACATGCAAAAGTACATGTAGACTTAACAAGGACACTGTAAAATATGTATTTTATTTCCATGTGATATTTTAGTTTTTCTTTTTTAATAAATCTGCAAAAATGTCAACAATTCTGTGTTTTTCTGTCAATATGGGGTGCTGTGTGCACATTAATGAGGAAAAAAAATTAACTTAAATGATTTTAGCAAATGGCTGCAATATAACAAAGAGTGAAAACTTTAAGGGGGTCTGAATACTTTCCGTACCCACTGTATATATATATATATATATCACATCAACCAAAATGGTACTCTTAGCCAGTACTAGTCCGAGTCTGGGTACTGAAACTGAGCCGACACCATCGGCATTGGGCCACTCGTCGGTGTGATTGTGGCCTAATGCTGGTGGTGTTGGCCCAGTTTCAGTACCCAAACTCGGGCCAGTACCGGCTAAGTGTTTCAATTCTTGTCGCCGTGATTGTGGCAGTTTTGGCAGCCGCTGCAATATAACAAAGAGTGAAAACTTTAAGGGGGTCTGAATACTTTCCGTACCCACTGTATATATATATATATATATATCACATCAACCAAAATGGTACTCTTAGCCAGTACTAGTCCGAGTCTGGGTACTGAAACTGAGCCGACACCATCGGCATTGGGCCACTCGTCGGTGTGATTGTGGCCTAATGCTGGGGGTGTTGGACCAGTTTCAGTACCCAAACTCGGGCCAGTACCGGCTAAGTGTTTCAATTCTTGTCGCCGTGATTGTGGCAGTTTTGGCAGCCGGACTCGGGCCAGTGTATTTGGGCCGATTCTGGCCCGTCATTCATCCCATGTCCATGCCGACTCTGGCAGCCGGGTCGAGTTATTTCATCCGGCCTGCCGGATCTGGGCCATTATCGGGCCAAACTGTTTTGGCTACCTGGGTTATAGTCATCTAGGCTTTTTTATCAGGTTTCCCTATTATAATTGTTTTCCATAGTTACTGCCGTTCATATAAGCAATTAATGAAAATTATATTCATAGGCCTATGCTATCATCTTAAAAGTGTGTAACCTATAAGAAGCTTTCAGAACCTATCTGAACCTTTTTTTTTTTTACGGTCATTAATTGTTGTAACAATAATAATTGTAGCTATTTTTTCAAAATTGTTGTTAGGCTACCAAAATGCATTTTGTTAGCCTACGGTAAAGATAAATAAACATCATATAAAGTGAATTCTTTCCAAATCAAATTCAATATTCCAACGTATTTGATTTCTTACAGCATGTTTTAGTTCTCTTTGTTTTCTTCATCACGGGTAAATCCAAAATGTCTGAAAAAGTGCAATGAAATCATTACAAAACCTAACTTTGGCCCCACTTAAACTACGTTTTCGATATTGGTGTGAACATGTCTTTCTCCCGGTAAGAACTTAAACACCAACTCATGAGATTAAGTTATAAATCATACAGAATGAGTTTTTTATTTTATTTTATTTTTTTGGAGAATGTAAAAATGCAGAAAGTTTTCTGTGAGGGGTAGGTTTAGGTGTAGAGCCATACGCCTGGAGAGACTGGCACGGTTCATAGATGCATCAGCACATTCTGGTTGCTCTGTGTACTACCGTTGATGAGTTCACGAGGTTTAGCTGGGGCTCGTTAACTGCTCCACGGTAGTACACAGAACAGAGTCCCGTAAACCAGACGTGTGTGTGTGCGTGTGTGTGTAAATGTATTTCTATCCTGGTGGGGACCTTGTGTGTGTGTGTGTGTGTTAACTCATTACAGCACACTCCTTTACAGTAATTGTGATTAATAAAGCTCTCTGTGATTATTTGCAAGCCACTTATCCCACACAATGGACAGTAGGACACTCTACAGTAGTTTACTGCTACACAATTTCATGACTGACTTACTTTGCTCTGAAAGAACGACTGTTGTAGATGTCTTTTTTGTTAGTAAAGAATCAGGATGACTCATTAGTCTACTTTAAACCTGCACATATAACGTAATATGGGCAGCCCTCACTCTTTCTGAATCTGTCATATTTCTGCTTGGCTCAGATGTCAGCGTCACTTTAGCGTCTCGGCTGATATCGCGGAGGGATATTTCTTCCTCATGTAGCACTTCGGTCCGGGACACGCCACACAAGCGATAGTGCGGATCGATATCATGATAAGAAGAGCGCATTCAGCCCCGGTTAGTCCTAGGAGTCAGTCACACTGTATAGTGTATAGCACAACTTATGACGTTATTGAGCATTTATTAAAACACATCGCGACTCAACATTTAGAGATCAGTAAGTTATTGATTTTTTATTTTATTTTTACCTTTACTTTAAGAAACATCTTGCAGAACTTGGTTGTTGCCAAACTAGACAAGACAGCTCAACCCCCTTCTTTGATCTGACTGGCTACAATCGAACGTGCTAAAAGTTTAACTTTTTAGAATCTTTTTTTGTCATCCCAGAAACTGTAGTTGACGGTAAATTTTTGTTTAAATTGATAGTTTAGTTGTCCTATAAAGATTGCCAAAGTAAAACATAAATCACAATACTTATAGGTATTAAGCAGTGACATTGTCAGGTTTTTTATTTACAAAAAATAAGCTTTTTGAATGTGGCAGGATTGTAATATAACAATTAATAACAAGCTTTTATGCGATACAGATTAAAGTGGCTTCATAAATTACTTTTTAAAAATATTAAAAACGCAAAACACACCTGATGCGAATTCTTTGCTCTTCATTTTCTATAAGCAGAGTTTTAACAGACCCTGTTGTATTTTCTTGTAATTTATTAAAAGAAGGTACACCGCCATCTTTCATGACTGACTTACACCGCCATCAGTATAGCCTACAAACATAACGGAGTATACGTGCGTTATCAAACATTTGTCACATTTAGGCTACAGTTTAGTTCGCATTAGGATATCCCTTTAAAAGTAGGCTATACAATGTGGGGGGGTTGCACCACAACATGATTGTGCTTAAAAACAGTTACACAGTAACTTTTAAGTTATTCTGAAAACGAACCTGTAGCCTATTTATTCATAACCTATTTACTGAAATAATCAATTATTTACTGAAAGTATTATGCATTACGCTGAGCAAACGCAAACACTCTCCAGCGCGCTGGTTTTGGGCTAATGGAGCTATGCTTTGATACAACCTCCCAACTTTTCTCTTTTTTTTTTTTTTTTAACAATTTGCTTTTTTTAGCTTGGACTAATATTTCAACTCTTTAACAGCATTCAAGATGTTTTTAACATTTCAAAACGCATTCTCGTGTTAGCAGACAGATTACGCTTTCACATCCGACCAACAATTCCACAACAAATATAAAATATCATAATGAAATATTATCAAAATATACAACTGACAGAGTTGACGAACAAATGACTGCAAGTTCAGGTTAACTATCAAATACATTGAATCCGTCAATTACTGTATTAAAACAAACAGTGAGTGTTATTGTTTATAAAGCTTTTATTCAAGAGTCACATTTAAGTATTTTGATATATCACTGGAACACAAAATCTTATGGTGGTGACATCTGATGGTGTGGAAAAATTTGGCATTTCTTTCACAAAACTAATGGAGTTCATGTAGTAGCCATTTTCTTTTATTAATTTTTTCTGTTGATGCTAGATGCTAATGGAACCTGCTTCAGAAGAATAAAATGATCTAAATATTTCAAATAATTTCCTCAGAAATTGGAAGATGGTGTTGACATCATGGCTGTGACAGGAAATATTAACATTAGGATTTAAAATATACTAAAACTTAGCAGAGCCTATCTGACACTGATGTACTCTGCAGAGGTGAACTGTGGCACGGGGGTCCTTTAGAGTGACGGCTGCCCCTGATATTCCCTGATTTTATTGAATGTCTGACTGTGTTGACAAAGTGGGGACGCAACTTTAAAATCTTATAAGATTCATTAAATACAGTTGGTTGTAGCCTTTTTTTTTTATTTTTTTTTTTTTATTTAAGTTGCATTTTATGTATGCTTTTTATTTTTGGACTAATAATAAATTCAACTAATTGTATGTGAGAGTCAGTGGTAATATCAATGCGTTCCTATTGGTCCGTGTTAGAGGAGCTCAGCTTAGCCTGACAGTTAGCCTGCTCCTGACCAGGTTAGTTTCCCAGCATAATTTGCCGCAGTGACTGAGCTTGAGCTATGGTAAATTTGCTTTCGGAAACCAAATCAAGTGACAATAAGTCACTTAGTCGCTTATTTGGTAAACAGTTTAATGAAACCGCCCCAAGGGGAACTTAGCCACTGCCCCTCTCCACCCGAAACCGTTGTGTCTTTCTTTAATGTTGATTCTCCCTTTAGGGCACTATTAAAATAATGTAACTGAAGTCTGACTGGCCAAAGTTTATTGACATTCTTTTAATATTACTTGCTGCAAGATGCAACACGAGGGATTTGGACAGCTGTTTTCTGTGAGCGTGTAATGGCTCCTGTTCACTTATCAGTAGTGTTGATTAAGTTGGTAAAATTAGTGCTGTTATTTCTCTATTCTTTGTAGGCATTGCTGCTGTGGCTATTGAAAACAGTGTGGGAGGAAAGTGGCTAAAGGAGAACTATAAATATTCCGACTGCATTCCAAATGAGCTGCAATCTCAGATAGACAGTCAATACCTGGAGTCTTTTAAGAATTTTAGTGGTTAAATATTAAGAAATGTAAATTAAATTCTAAGGGGAATCAGCCCTTGATTCATTTGCAGGTTGACGCATTATTGTATGTGAAGAAATATGAATCTTGTGAGGACTGATCTTTCTAAGTTTAAATGGATTTGATCCAATACATTTTTCATGTTTTAAGCATTCAGTCATATTGGTCATAAATAGTCTGACGTCTGTTACACTAAAATACTAGTAGAGTTCACAATCAGATTGTAACTCAGATTTCTAACTTACTCTCTTGAAAATGGTAAAATCAATAGTAATGAATTTCATGTAAACTAAAGATTTGATCAATACTAACCATATTAAAAAAAATTACAGTATTGATATATTAACACATTTGGGAAAACACCCATTTTATTTATCGAGAGGTTTTTAAATGATTAAATAAATGGCTCATTTAAGGAGAAACCATTTATTTAGAATAAAAATGTAAATCACAGGAAACGAAGCATACAATTTGAACATGTATCAAGGAAAATTACCCTTTTAATAAACAGGATTTTTGATAGAAAAATACATTTATCACTATTTATTGCTTTTTGTGCAACTCGTGCATGATCCTCGTGTGTTTTTTAATTGCATACAATTTGAACATGTATCAAGGAAAATTACCCTTTTAATAAACAGGATTTTTGATATAGAAAAATACATTTATCACTATTTATTGCTTTTTGTGCAACTCGTGCATGATCCTCGTGTGTTTTTTTTAATTAATTTTTTTTAATCACTACTGACCGTAAACTAACCAAACGTGAGTATTTTTAATGAACACAATTTAATAATCCCTGATAATTATTGTGCATAGATCTCTTGGGAAAACGGAATACTGCTTTGCCACAAAAAATGCAAACCACAAGTTTTCCAACAAAGGAATGTTTTCTTTCATCCAGCAGATATTCAGTTACACCCTATGAATAACAAACCACACTGCTCTGTGTACAGTCACATAGTTGGAATATTGTCCATCCAACTTTTCTTATCTTGTAGATTCTCCCTATGTATGTATAAGTACATTTGTGTATGTTTTACTTTGGTACCATTATGTTGGCAAATGTTTGCATTTTCACATGGCCAGTCTTTACTGACAACAGTTGGTCTGTTTCTTCTTGGAAGTTGCATGCATGTTTGAGTTGCTGTTGACTTCTGTGTGGAGAAAATAAAGTTTCATTTAAATTCAAAGACAACGTTATCATATACCATTATTCAGTGCATATTCTACAGAAAATCACTGCTTCATGATCTTGTATGTAGTAATTTTTAACTCTGAAATAACTTTAATTCATCAATTAGTGATTTCAGGTCACTCAGGCAGGGGAACCAATAATGCAATCATGATGCAATAAAATTCCAATGGATTAATGTTAAAGGAATAGTTCACTTAAACGAAAATTAGATGAAAATGTACTCATCCTCAGGCCGTCCAAGATATAGATGAGTTTGTTTAGTCTAATGATAATATGGCTTTCTTGGTAAAAAAAAGACTGCGAAATATACACAGAATAAGCATCATTTACAAGCGAAAACAATCTATACTAATAACACTAAACGGGGCTCTACGCTTATTTTTCTTTTTAGGAGCACAGTCAAAAATGTAGGAGCACCTTCTAATCAATCCAATATTTGATTTAAAAAAATGCCTTCCCATTACGAGGTGATATTTGACTCAAAGTGATTTACAGTGGAATTGTTTTTACCTTTTGTAATGGCATTTTTCTATTTTTATTAAAAGTATGTCATCTTTTGTCAAATCAATATTTTATGAGCTTTTTAAAAATTCTAATTAAAACCACATAAGAACAAATAGAATAAGAATAAGTTACTAATCTAATTAAATAAAAACAATTATGAATATTAAATGATTTAAAAAAACTGAAAAGATAGTTTAAAAATGAAACTAAAACTGCCAGCAGGTGGCGACAAGTCACTGATTTTTATCACTAAATCATTCATTCAACTGATTCATTCGAACGGCTGAATCATTCAGGAATGACGCAAGTGACAGTATATGAATGGGTAATCATGAATCACTGACTCACTAGATTCATTCAAAAACGCCCTTTCATAAACGAGACACCGCTGTGTTTGAATGGAGATGCACAGCGGCTGAGCTGTGACGGTTTCAAACTATTTTTGACGATGAAATGGAGCAAAATCAGACAATAGTGTTATAGTCAGACAATGTAAGTCCCTTAATTAACTTGTCTATTGAACTGTTGTATTAAATCAGTATCACGTTTACAAACTCCCTTAAAAATCATTAAAAGCTGTCCCTCATCTTGGCTCATCGCGATCTCACATTTATAATCAATGAATCTCTCTACACTGCACAATGAATCTTTTATTTACACCCTCTACACTTTGCTTATGAAAGGATTCATGAAATATGTCTGTGATGCATTACTCAACGCTGCAAAAACACGTAGAAACCTTTGAAGTTCCCCTCAGCGATCACAATCACAAATATGATGAAGATCTGGTCAGTCGGACTGGTGCACCTAAATATGTTTTCAGTCGCAAATGTGGCTGAAATGGTCGCACTGTAGAGCTGTTATGGATTATGGACTGATATTTTGAAGTTGAAGTTAAAATGTCTTGATGGATTTGTTTATTACAAACTTTTTTTTTTTTTCACAATGTTAGTTGATGGAGTGGTGTGGTGTGGATTATTGTGATGGTTTTTATCAGCTGTTTGGACTCCTATTCTGACGGCACCCATTCACTGCAGGGGATCCATTGGTGAGCAAGTGACACAATCATTAGCATATCATTGCTATCTTGTGGATTTAAGATTGCTTCCGTTGTCCTCATTTGTAAGTCGCTTTGGATAAAAGTGTCTGCTAAATGATTAAATGTAATGCTACATTTCTCCAAACCTGTTCCGATAAAGAAACAAACTCATCTACATCTTAGATGGCCTGAAGGTGTGCATTTTTAACAAATTAAAATTGGGTGATCTTTAATGTACTTGCGAACAACTTCCCCAATACGTCTGGATCCACTTTTCTCCAGTTCTGCCAGAACATTTGCCTCAAACTTTAAAGATGTCACTCTGAAGAAAAACTCTAACATTCTCCCCTACAGTCACAAAAAGAGTAATTCATCTAAATAAACAGTTGCAAGCTCTAAGGTTTCCCAAATACTTTGTGACTTTGTACATGCATTATTTACACAGAATTGATACAAATCCCATTAACATATAATACACTATAGCAATATCTCAAGTCCGGAACTCACCAGACAAGGTGGACACAGCCCAGTACGCTGCTTTCATCTGATCTGCCAGTTTAATGGCGTCCTGCTCAATTAGTGTATACTGTGCAGGAGACTAAAGGAAAGACACAT